TTAAAAGAGGCTATGGTGGTACCACTCTTAAACAAACCATCTTGGGATCCTACAGATCCTTCCAATTACTGCCCAGTTTTGAATATTTCATTTCTGGGAAAGGTAATTGAGAGAGTGGTGGCAGAGCAGCTCCAGAATTTCCTGGAAGATACATTGGCCCTAGATCCATTCCAGTTTGCCTTCCAACCTGGGCATGGAGACTGCACTGGTCGCCCTCACAGACAATCTCTGTAGACAGCTGGATTGAGGCAGGTCATTGAGGATTGAGGCAGGAGCTATTACTGCTCCATCTGACAGCAGCGGTCGACATGGTTGACCACAACTTGTTGGCCCACCACCTTGATGAAGCAGGAGTCTGTGGGGTGGCCTTGAAGCGGCTTACCTCATCCCTCCTAGGTTGGGGACAGAGGGTGGTGCTAGGAGAGAGGACGTCACCTCAATACCGCTTAGTATGTAGAATTCTTCATGAGACATCCCTCTCTCCAACGTTGTTTCAGGCTGGGTTGCCATCAATATGTTGATGACACACAAGCTGTATCTGTTGATGGACAGATGGACAGACACCACCCCAAATGATTTGGCTGAAGAACTAGAGGCAGTGGTTGGATGTTTGAAGCAGAACTGGCTGAGACTGAATCCATCCAAGACGGAGGTTCTGTGGTGGTGGCAGGGTTCAGAATTGAATTGCCAGCTAACAGCTCTGGACAGTGTGCCACTAACACTGGCATCCACTGTTAAGAGCTTGGGCGTGTTTCTGGATGCCCCCCTATTGATGGAAGCCCAGAAAATGAATGCTGCCAAACTAGCATTTCTTCAGCTTTGCTAGATCAGGCAACTGGCCCCCTTCTAGTCTCATTCTGACCCAGCCACAGTAATCAATGCAACAGGCACCTCTAGGCTAGACTACTGTAACTCACTTTATGCAGGACTACCCTTGAGATTGACCCAGAGGCTCGGGTTCTTACCAGAACCCCACTAACATCATATATCCAACCAATGTTTCACCAGGTGCACTGGTTCCAGATTGAATACCAGATCAGGTTCAAAGTTCTGATATTAACCTTTAAGGCCCTTTGGGACCAACATACGTTTGGGACCTTCCTCTCCTGGTACATCCCTCAAAGACCACTACGCTCAGCTGAGAGATCCCTGGCCTAAAAAATATCCAGCTACCCTCAACCAGAGCCAGGGCTTTCTCAGTCCTGGCTCCAACTTGGTGGAACTCTCTGCCAAATGACATCTGTGCCTTGTGGGACCTAGTTCAGTTCCACGGGGCCTGTAAGGCAGAGATGTTCCGTCAGGATTATGGTTGAGGACAGCAACGGTTTTAATTAGCCTGGCCTCTTTTCTGTTCATTCCCCCTTTTAAGGAAAATCTGGTTTTAGATGCCATCTAAATGGTTATTTGTATTTGAATTTGTTTTATTATTTTTAACTTATTTAAACCTGATAACTTGTATTTTGAATGTAGTACACCTCCCTGAGCCCCAAGTATGGGGGAGGGCAGCTTAGAAATTGAATGAATGAATAAATAAATAAATATCTTGAATACTCAGGACATACCTCTGGCCATAAAGACAGAGACAGGCTTGCAGTTTAATAAATGAAGCCTTTAATTTCCTTCTACAAGCACAGCTCCTGAAGGACCATTTGCCCATCTTGGCAGGTCTGTGTCAAGAATGCCAACTTGTCAAAATCAGTCACCATTCACTTTCTACCATGGAGTCTGAGATCATAAAAAGCCATCAAACAGAACACAAGCCAAAGTTTACCAGTGCCATCACCGATCCTAGCTCTGCACTATCACACTGGACCAACAGCAGGGTTTCTCCAATGGCACCAGGAAAAGTCCTCCATTTTTATAGTTGGTTGTACCATCCTCCATTATTACAAATACAAAGCTGCCGGACCCTAGACAAGATCAGCAGAGTATGATTTCTTCTCTTCTGTTTTACTATTCTTTCTGAAATTAGCCCTCTACATTCTTTCCCCCCATTTACCCTTGCTTAGCCCTTTGCTCATCCAGGATTGGTTTGTCTTACTGCCTGCCAGCCCTTTCCCATTGCCCCATGGTTAAGGACTCCCCCTTTTCTACCCTAGGTTCCTTTCCTATCTATCTCATCACACGTTCTGGTACCAGTTTGGACAATCCCTTACCTATCTCCTCTCTCTGGGTTGGTTTACTCTGGACTAGTGAAGTGGGAGGAACACACGTTGGGAGTAGAAAGTAACTTTAATACGGTATTTCGCTAAAGCAGTATAAACGCATATTAGGACTGTGCAAAGTGAATGCTGATTTCTCATTTTCTAGTGTGAATCAATAGAGTTAAATGATGGTTAAGTGCTCATCAGCAGTTACTTGATGGGTAAGTGCTTATCTCCCATCCTTTCTTTATCTGAGATTTAGTCTTCGAAACTGGGAGTTGCTTATACAATAAAGTAAAAAGTCCCCTTTTCACCTCTGGGCTCCCATGGGTTTCCACACGTAGGGGTTTCCTGCTCTGGCAGCTTCCCACCCTTTGCCCCTGTCCTTGTGCTGCTTGAATGAGCAGCGGGAGCAATACGGGAGGGGTGACTGGTGTCACACAGTGGTCAAAAACCCACAGCATTGTTCATAGCAATCTCTACCTCCAACCACTTTATTTATTTATTTATTTATTTTGTATCCTGCCCTCCCCACCTGGGCAGGCTCAGGGCGGCTTACAGTTTATACCCCCCCCAAAAAAAATGAGTTAAAACACAGTATTTAAATAAGTAAAACCACAACATATAAAATCATAGGTGCCAGTAACAGATGTCAATAAGTACTAAGAAGTGATGGTGGTATGCTCTCAGCATCCAGGCGGTCAGCTACCACCACAGTCTGGATTCTTCCCAGACTGTTAGATATTAAATTAAATCAGTGCTGATGTTGGGGCCAGGGCCATAACATTAAGAGGCAGCACCCTAATCGGAAGCCTGATGGAAGAGCTCCGTTTTAGAGGCCCTGCGGAACTGTAAAAGGTCCCGCAGAACCCTGATGTCGTCTGGGAGCTCATTCCACCAGTACTGGGAGCTCATTCCACCACAGAGAAGGCCCTGGCCCTCATCACCGCTAGCCTGGTTTCTTTAGGGCCTGGAAGGGCCAAACGGTTTTGGGACCACGATCTCAGTGCTCTCTGGGGAACATGTGGGGAAAGGCAGTTCCTTAGGTAAGTAGGTCCCTGACCATATAGGGATTTAAAGGTAAGAACCAGCACCTTAAATCGAATCTGGTATGCTATAGGCAGCCAGTGCAGTGCTTTTAGGGCAGGCTGGATGTGCTCCCACACATGGGGAGACACAGCAACAGCCTCGCCACTGCATTCTGCACCAGCTGCAGCTTCCAGATTTGGGACAAGAACAGCCCCAAGTAGAGAGCATTACAGTAATCCAATCTCGAGGTGACCATTGTGTGGATAACTGTTGCCAGGTCATTGCATTCAAGGAAGGGAACCAGCTGCTTAATCAGCCACAGAGGGTAAAAGACAGACTTCGCAGTGGCTGTTACCTGAGCCTCCATCGTTAAGGAGGCATCCAGGAGCACACCCAAGCACCTAATCTCCGGCACTGGCACCAATGGTGCCCCATCGAAGGTTGGATCCCTAACCCTGGCCCGCTCCGACTCAGGCATAGGACCTCCATCTTCGTCGGATTCAGTTTCAGTCGACTCAGTCTAAGCCAACCAGCCACAGCTTTCAACGCCAGGTCCAGATCTCCCGGACTAGAGTCTGACTGGCCGTCCAACAACAGATAGAGCTAGTTGTCATCCGTATATTGGTGACAGCCCAGTCCATGACTCCAGGCAATCTGGGCAAAGGGGTGCATATAGATGTTAAACAGCATTGGGGAAAGCACCGCTCCTTGGGGAACCCCACAAGTTAGCGAGTGCCTTCTGGACAACCACCCTTTGTCCCTGACCCTGAAGGAAAGAGGAGAGCTACTGCAAGGCAAACCCCTGAATCCTGGTGTCGGCGAGGCGGTGGATCAGTAGTTCTAGGTCGACCGTGTCGAACACCGCCAACAGGTCTAACAACATCAACACTGCTGTACCGCCTTGATCCAGATGCCTCCAGAGATCATCTGTGAGGGCGACCAGGACCGTCTCTGTCTCATGGCCTGATCAGAAACTGGACTGGAAGGGATCTAATGTGGAGGTGTCATCCAAAAAACCTTAGCCCACACCGAGACTTTCAAGCATATCTTTGCAGCCGCCAAGGTTAAAACCTGAGATTTACAGGATAATGGATTCTGCATCACATTTTTCCTTGCTAGGGTTGCCAGGTCTTACCTGGCTGCTGGCGGGGTGTGTGTGTGTGTGTGTGTGTGTGTGTGTGTGTGTGTCTTCTTCCTTGTCAGGTGATCTTTGGTGTGTGCACGATGACATCACCCAGAAATGACATCATCGTGCAGGGCACATTGTGGGCAGGGCCTCTATCATTTGAGGAAAGACCATACAGTTTTTCCTCAAATGATAGAGCATCCTCCCACAATGTACCCTGCACAATTACATCACCTCCAGGTGACATCATCGTGCCAGGCACGTTGGCCTGAATGTGGCACTTTGGGGGCAAGGTCCCCCCGCGGTTCAGATCCGGACTGGCAGATTGGGGGCCCTAAAAGCGGGACAACTTCTGCCCCCCCCCCCGGGGAATGGCAGCCCTATTCCTCGCAGAATCACAGAATGAACACCACTCTGCTTATGTGTTTCAGAAAGTGGCTCCTCCCATCACAATCAAACCTAATCATCATAGTCAACATAAGAAATTTAAGAATGACCCTTTTGACCACTACATTCTTGTAGCTATTTCTGCCCTTTAAGATATATTGCTCCGTGTCCCCATCAAAAGTGTATAAGCAGTGTCCCCATCAAAAATTAGAATGGTGGCACTATGATTCCCTAGGAGCTTTACAAAGCATCTAGAGAAGCCACGCTTTTATCATGTAGTGCTTCAATGAGAGCTCCCACAACTGTGACATTACCTTCATATGTTCCTACTTCAAGAAGAGTCCCACTTTTCTCAAGTTCAAGGAACTCCTGCACAGTTAGAAAGTTATAATCCACACCAGGCACTTCTCCTTCTCGTGGAGGACGGGTCGTGCCTAGAGGAGAAAAGAAAGGAGAACAAACATTAAACGAATGTATAACACAACAGAACTAGCAAGGGGAGGTAAATAGCACATAATCCCACTGACTGAGACAGAAGTCAATACGACTGGGAAGAATTCAACATCCTGTAGCATCTTGGAGGAAAGAAATAATACAGCAAAACGTTGTGATCTGTTGCTGGACATGGAGGCCACTCTTTCATCCCATATCTCCCTCCTCTGAGCAGCTAGAGATGTCTCTCATGTGGAGTCACATCTTCAGTTTCACGGTTTTGCAATGCCTTTTCCATGTTATCCCATAGCTGTTCTATTTCACTATTACAACCTGCCAATTCTCCATGCCAAGGGTCTCTGGAGGATGCACTTAAGAGATGCACACATCCATGCCAAGGGTCTCTGGAGGATGCACTTAAGAGATGCACACATAAACATTTTTTTAAATCAGGAGTTCACAACTTAGTACATGTACTATCTATAATACCTCATCATCGTTTAGTCTACTGGCACAAGGAAACTTGGATTAATTTTAACTTTATTTCATAGCTTTGCTGTCTACCCCCCATACACAAAATGTTTATGAACAACGACCTACATATTTTCCATATTTCTTTTTAGGACAACTTTGAAGCTAAAATTGTATTAATCCTCTCTTTCTCTGCATTAAATCATCACATCTGTTAGAATTCCTGGACTAAATTTCTAAGATGCTGTGATAGATGTATTTGTTTCATCTTAGTGTTCTTAATTTCCTGAGCATGCTGAAATCTAAATTTTGCAAATGGTCTTCACTTTCCTATGTGGGGCGGCCTGCAACACACTTTGAATGAATTAGAAAGTTATAATCCAGGTATAAAGTTCAGCACGTTGCAAGTTGTATTGATCTCAATAGGAGAGCTGTGCACATGCTTTAATGTACTGCCAATGCTTTTAAAAAGTGCTCAGCTTTGAGTGTCTCATACTCGCTCTGCATAAGTATTTGCAAAATTCCCACTGATTGTGTTATTTGTTAGCAGTAATTTTATTTTAAATTATACTCGGCCAGATGGTTAACATTGTCATCTTCTGAAACTTGCTGGTTCTACTTTAGTCTCAGGACAGACACAAAACGGAATCAAGTGGATTTGTTCATGCAAGTCCTTTGCTCACCCCCAAGATGCTCAGAGAACAAAAGGGTTGCCTAGGAAGTTGATGTATTCATTGACACTGAAGGTGACCCCCATGTCTTTTTATTTGGCTTTAGTTGTGATCTAAACACAAATGCATCTTGAAGAAGTTCATGTTACGTTCAAGAAACCGCTGACTTACAATATAAGTGTACAATATGACTTCAGGTATCGTTTCACCCCATTCCGTGAGATGGACAGAGTTGCAAACACCCACAATCCACACTGTTAAATCAGTGCAACGATTACTCTCAGCTTCACCACATCTGAGCAAACATTCCCAACAACAATTGTGAAAGAGAGTAAAGAAAACAAGAGGCAAGGGAATCCCCGCCTCTTCCTTTCTTGTAGTGAAAGGACAGGCTGCTGCCGGGACACACGCCTGACAGATGGCATTTCAAAGAGTTTTTATGAACCATCTGGGGTGTATGCAAGGAGCACAAACCACATTTACTACCAACCCAGTGGGTTATTTAAGAAGAGACACTGAAGAACAGGCAAACCAAATTCAGGCCCTTTCCCTAAAAGCATTACTCTAGAAATGAGGCTTAGGTCGAGATCTTACTGATATGAACACAGAATTAAACTGAGTCAGAAGTCATCACTATTCCAGGAGCTCCGATTTATTTTCTCTTCAGCATAAGTGGTTAAACCTTATCCCCCTTCCCACCCTTTCAGGCATGCACAAACTGAAACAAACAAACAAAAAGGTCAGCCGGCACTCTAATATGGCTAAAACCTTGATTGGCGACAAACAACTGGAAAGCATTATTTTTTTTCCCCTCAAAGAAAACAAAGATTTGGACTTCAAAACATTCTCAAGGAAATGTAGCCTTGCTAAGAGGTCCAACAGACCCTTGTCAAGGATGCTGTTGTAACAGCCCTTTAATTATAGGATTTTTTTAAAAAAAAAAAAACACCAGGATTTCACCGTTCCTGCTCATCAAGCATCGATGAAGAACATTACTGGTGCATTCCATCACAAACCATAAGACAAAATAACAAAAACAACAAAAAAGCACACCCCAAACCATTTCTTGCTAACAACACAGAACATGTTCTGCAGGAAATTTGGCCCTAAGCATGTAGCGGGAATGGCACACACAATCAGATTGAACTCTATGCCCTTTGGGGGCAAATATTTACAAACTGCCAGTTCCACTGGTATCAATGGCTAGTCTTTCAGAAGGACATCTCATCCCCACAATCCACAGTTACAGTCCACAACTGTGATCTTCAGCCTACCCTTCCAACCTATATAAGGGGATCTGTGCCCGCCATGTTTCTATTATAGGACCATCTTAACACGATGCAATACTGTATTCATTTTGTTTTCTATACATTTTAGATAACTTCTCCAAATAAGCTCAAAGCTCACTACAGGAGCACTCATGCATGCCCTTTTGATGTTACAGAAGTAGGGGGAAGCGGCTTTTCTGTAGGTTCATCCTATGATATTTCTATAAAGTTTTCAGGTCTCTTAAGCTGGAGGCGGCAATCGTGTGGCTCTTTACCACCTGTACTTTCACCTCTTATCCTGGGAAAGGCAATGACAGCATAGTAAGAACCTGTGCAATTGGACCTATCTACATGGTGGTGTGCTTTAAATCTCATCATAATGCCGTAGAAGACTGACCCCCTATGCTGCTACAGTAAAGTCTAAAAGGCCGCACAGTTTGTAATGATCTGATATAGTTATTATATTGTTTAATGTAGCCATAAATACTTCAAAATGCTCCTAAATTATACCTCAGCCACAAGGTTCATTTGAAAAAAAAATCAGTGTGCTCTCTTTCATTTTTACTGTGCAAGGCTTCATGTTAAGTTGCTTAATAGATGTTGACACCCTGAGGCTAAATTAATTAGAAACTTGCCTACTGTAATCTTAGAACAACACTTCAAGAAGCCCATATTTAGACACCCCATTTACCTTCATATTAGATCAGCACAATTATCTGATATCGTGCAGCAATTACTGCTTAGAAACATTCTTTGGGAAGTACAGGTTTAGATAGCAATGGATGAAAACAAATAAAAATTCCCTGCATTTTAAAATGTATCAAATATATAAGCTATTCTATGTTACCTGAAGCAGTGGTCTTCATCCAATGAACTGGGACCAGATAATTTAGGAACCACATAACTGACTCTATGAATACATTTTTTAAATCTCTGTTTTCACTGTGAAAGATGGGAGGTGCTTGACTCCTCCAGAACCGCCAATTTCAGGATAGGTGTTTAAAAGATCTGAGGTGGATTGAGGTGACAAGAAAGGAGGTCCTATGACTGATGGACAGATTAAAAACTAACAAATCACCAGGTCCAGATGGCATATATTCAGTTCTAAAAGAACTCAAACGTGAACTTGTGGATCTCCTGACAAAAAATGTGCAATCGATCACTAAAATCTGCCTCCTTTCCCAAGTACTGGAAGGTAGGTAATGTAACATCCATTTTTTTAAAAAGGTTCCTGAGGAGATCCAAGAAACTGCAGGTTAATGTCTAATGTTGATACCAGGTAACTTGGTGGAATCTGTTATTAAAGATAGAATTAGTAGGCACATTGTTGAACAAAAGCTATTGAGGAAGAATCAGCATGGATTCTGTAAGGGAAAATCTTGTCTCACTAACTTTTTAGAGTTCTTTGAAGGGGTGAATGAACATGTGGACAAGGGTAACACAGTAGATGTTGTTTACCTAGACTTCTAGAAAGCTTTTGATAACGTTCCTCATCAAAGGCTAGGCTCGTAAGTATACTCAGCAATTATGGGATAAGAGGACAAGTCCTCTTGTGGATTAAAAATTGGTTAATTAAGAGGAAACAGAGAGTGAGTATAAATGGGCAGTTTTCACAGGGGAAGGTGGTAAACAGTGGGGTACCGCCAGGCTAAGTACTAGATCAGATGCTTTTTAACTTGTTCATTAATGATCTGGAGTTGGGAGTAAGCACCAAATTGGCTAAGTTTACGGATGAAACTAAGTTGTTCAGGGTGGTGGGAACCAGGGAGGACTGTGAGGCACTCCAGAGAGATCTGTCAAGGCTGGGTGAGCATCAGCGTGGCAAATGAGGTTCAATGTGGGCAAGTGCAAAGTAATGCACAAAAATCCAAACTATAAATATATTTTGATAGGGTCTGAACTGGCAGTAGCTGACCAGGAGAGAGCTCTTGAAGTCATGGTAGATACCTCACTGAAGATGTTGACTCAGTGTGTGACTGCAATAAAAATGGCAAATTATATGCTGGGAATTATTGGGAAACAGAAGGAAAACAAATCAGCCAGTACCATAATGCCCCTGAATAAATCTATGGTGCGGCCTCATTTAGATTACTGTGTACAGTTTTAGTCAACACATGTCAAAAAACGATATTATAGCATTGGAAAAGGTGCACAAAATGGCAACTAAAATAATGAAGGGGATGGAACACCTTCTGACACGGCTCAGGTGGGGTGTCACCTGATGCTGCCACCACTCTGGATCTAGGTTCCCTTGAAAAGGCCCAGAGCACCCTACCAAGACCTTCAGACCTCCCTTTAGGCCAAATAACAGGCGTGAGGACCAGGCAGAGTAAAACAAGGAAAAGGTTTATTTTATAGGAGGTCAAACAACAAGGTGCAGAATAATAACAGTAAGTGGGTGAAAAGAAAATAAATCAAATGCACTAACGCGTCTACATTTACTTTCCCTAGCTCACTATCTCAAGTGGCCTTACACTACTCACCCCTCCCTCAGGATGAGGGTTTTTCCCCTGCAGCAGCCTTCCTTCTGGCTCTGCCCTCTGGAAGAAAGAACAGCTCTTCCTGCTGCTCCAGAACTTTTATTCCCAGCCC